ATATTCGCATATTTATGAACAGTATTTAACGCGCTGTTAATATTTGCTAAAACGTCGTTTTTTGCTATTCTACTAATTATTTTATTCATCAAAGGCGAATTTGCATCGAATGGTATTGCGCATTTAGGCAAAATCACGTTTGATTTGTGTTTTGTCAAATGGAATTTATTAAGCGTATTGGGTCTTTGGCTGGCGGCATACAAGTTTTTCTTGCCTCTCTGTTTTGGCCAAAAGGTTCGGTGCGAAAGACAGCACGCATCCAGTTTGAACCGGTTGCAGTTCATTAATAAAACAAACTATGAAGTTTTTTTTTCTTTTGCTTTATTTTAGTAAAGTTTCGCATAAATTATTGATGAATAAATTATCTGAAGTATTTCTGCGAAATTAGGTACAACCACTAGGAATAAGTGAGTTTTGTGAAAAAAAATAAATAAATAAATAAATAAAAAATAAATAAATTGACAGAAAAAAGTTTTAATTATGGACATACGTAATCTGTAGATTAGAAAGTTATTAATTTTGTATATTTAAATGTTGACTAGGTCCATTCTTTTCATTTCTACTGCTTGTCTAGCGTTTGATATTCTCCCGAGTTTATTCAAGCAGGCAATTCTCCCAACCTATCCATTTAAATATATAGTTTCTATAGGTTTATGTTGCTGTGAATTCAGATGAAGCTTACTCTCAAATTCTATCCTTGCTATTTCGCAGAACTCGTAATGGTTTTTTCATGTCGGAGTTTTTTGTTTTAGATTTGCAATCAAAGCCAATTGCCGTAGTCATTTGGCTACATTGCTTTTTATGACTTCCGCATACCTCAGATCTGATTGCGGCGTACCTCACACTACGGGCTAGAACAAAAAACTAGCTGTACTTGAAATTATGCATAATTTGAGCTTCCGTACCAAAGTGGGTGTCAAAAATTTGTTGCTCAACATATAGTATAGTCATTTAATTATTCAATCCGAGACAAGCTAATCGATGAATCAGTTGCGAATGACCTTCTGCGCTCGTCAGTTATGTAAGTCAGTGCAGTTGGAAATGTGTCGAATAATATACATACATTATGCAGGCATGCATTCAACCGAATCGCAGTATATATAAGTATATATGTATTCATATATATGTATCTATATATATGTGAAAGTCGAGAAGTCAACTGGTATAATTAAATATAGCAATTGCTGTCAAAACCGGAAAAATTGCCATAGGTCCACAGATATTTTGATTGACCAAATTTAGTTGTAGTGCCTAACATTCGGGAATTTTCGACTGGGACTTTGACTTTATCTCCACTAAGATCTTGTGCCTAATAGCGGGCAATAAAATGTCAAATTGTGCATGTCACACGAAAAGATTTTCTAATTAAGAAATAGGCAATTATTTTTTGTTTGTAGATTTGTATACAACACAAAGTTTTCCTTTCTTTCTTCTTAAAAAGAGTAACAGCAAAGCTAAGCAATGCCAAGCGCTAAATGAAATCACAACAATCTATGTACACTCCGAAGCCACTCACAAGTGACAGTAAAATTGGCTGCAATTAGAAAATGTTAGCACGTTTCATTTGCAACAAGTTGTTGGCAATATTATATATACACATTCCGTCTCACTCTCTCTCTCTCCCTCTCTCTCTCTTTCTCTCACTCACTCTCTCTCTCTCTCTCTCTCTCTCTCTCTCTATCGTTCTCTGTCTGTGTCACACTCACCAACACAGACACAATAGAGTCGATGTGCCCCGATGCGGGGCAATGATTCCGTCACACTGAACTTGACATTGTCGTGGGTCTGTTTTTAATTTAGATATATGTCAGACTATTTTCAGCTGCATTTGCTGCTCTTAGATAGATCGCGATCTCTATGGAGAGTGTCAGAAATTAAATAATGATTTTATACACAGCCACGAGTACAAGTAAAAGTGCGGAAGAGCTCGACTAAGAGATACCCGGAACTCACACAAAATCAGGCACTCTGCTGACTGCATTAGCTATACTATGTAAAATAAAATAAATTATATAAGTTTTGTATCAGTTTCACATTCATAGCCAAATTATAGGGCAAATTGCACTATAAAATTTCAAATTTACAGCTTTTGTCGGAATTCAAGCTATGCTTAGTAAACAATATATGTATATATGATATGTTACTTACAATGGGAATTTGATAACTTTTTTTGTGCAAGGACTTTCTTCATGAAACTTTCAGATCGTGATGATCTCTAGTCTCTAACTCTTATATCTTCTGAGATCAACGCGCTTAAGCATACGGACAGAGGGACGGAGGGACAGACAGACGGACAGGGCTAAATCAACTCAGCTCGTCGCCCTGATCAAGAATATATATACTTTGTGGGGTCTGCCACGCCTCCCTATGCCTGTTACATACATTTCAACAAAACCATTATACCCGATGTCCCATTTTCAATGGGTTCAGGGTATAAACAGTACTGCCCATAGTGCACATATATTCAGAAAATCAAGTATCCGGCTTTTGTGGTTTATAAGATCGTTGAGACCAACTCAGCTCGGCGTCCTAATTGAGAATTTATGAGTCTGCCACGCCATAAGCCTTTTCACAAAACAGTTATGCCAGGGAATCCCATTTAAGAACAATATGATGAAGACTTTATATCGCCTGGGCAAAGATATTACAAGTGTATTTTTAAACAAACTGGATATAATATACGCCGTTTATAATATAGAAGTTCAAAGAGGGTAAGGCGCTTATATTTAATGACGCGTGTACTCTTTTGGCCAAATCAGGTTTTAGTATTAGGCTTTGGGCGAAGCAGACAGACGCTCAGACGACAATCTATTGCGCATAACCTGTTGTTCAAGAATCAAATGAGCTATATGAATCATTAAAATCATTAAAATTCAAATTAAAATTAAAACAGAAATTTATTTAAGTTTACCTCTCTCTCTCTCTCTCTTTGTCTGTATTCATTCCAGCCATGAGTAAAAATGGACACAATAATCAGGCGTTTGTCAGTGATCATGTGGACAACATCAAGCAGCAGAGCAGCAACAAGTACTCACTGGAGCTAGCGGAGAAGGGTGCTGTCAAGGCTCCCGACTACAATCCCTACGAGCATCGGGATGTGCCGCACCCCACAACGTAAGTGTAGCAGGAATGCAAACTCTACTCCATGCTAAGATTTCAATGTCTTCAACAGCAACTGGGAGACACTATTCCATTTGCTGAAGGGCTCTCTAGGTACTGGCATTCTGGCCATGCCAAATGCCTTTCGCAACTCGGGCTATGTGACGGGGACGATAGGAACCATTGTGATCGGGTTCATATGCACCTACTGTATACACCAGCTGGTCAAGGCGGAGTATGAGCTCTGCCGGCGTAAGAAGGTTAGTTAACGTCAACTCTTATCTCTATTGGAAGCTCTTCTCATTGTGAATCTCCAAACAGGTGCCCAGCATGAACTATCCAGCTGTGGCGGAGGCAGCCCTGGGCGAGGGTCCTTCTTTCTTCAAGAACTGTGCCCCCTACATAGGCACGGTAGTAAATGTATTCCTGCTGATTTACCAACTGGGCACTTGCTGTGTCTACGTGGTCTTCGTTGCGTCCAACATAAAATCCATTGTCGATACCGTCTACGAGACCAACGTCGACGTGCGTCTCTGCATGATAATCATATTGGTGCCACTGATACTCATCAATTGGGTGCGACAGCTGAAGTACCTGGCGCCCTTCTCCACACTAGCCAATTTCATCACAATGGTATCCTTTGGCTTCATTTGCTACTATATCTTCCGGGAGCCAGTTACACTGGAGGGCAAGGATGCCATTGGCAAGATTGAGAACTTCCCACTGTTCTTTGGAACAGTTTTGTTCGCCTTGGAGGCCATTGGCGTTATTTTGCCTCTGGAGAACGAGATGAAAACGCCACACAAGTTTGGCGGCTCCTGTGGCGTTCTGAACATTTCCATGGTATGGATTGTTTTCTTGTACGTGGGCATGGGTCTGTTCGGATATCTAAATTACGGTGCCAGTGTGCTGGGCTCCATCACCCTAAATCTGCCCGAGCATGAAATGTAAGTAAACAGAGCACAATGCTCTTGACCAAAACTCACGATTGTCTCATGTCCTCTTGCAGTCCAGCGCAATGCGTGAAAGCCATGTTAGCATTCGCCATCTATATCACACACGGTCTGGCCTGTTATGTGGCCATCGACATCACATGGAACGACTACGTCGGCAAGAAGCTGGGCCCCCAACGCAATAAGCTCTTCTGGGAGTATGCCGTGCGTACCGGCCTTGTGCTGATCACCTGTAAGTAGCTGGACAAGCGAATAAAGAGTGAAGATATTAAGTATCTGATTGATCTTCTAGTTCTGCTCGCCGTGGCCATACCCAATCTGGAGCTCTTCATTTCGCTTTTTGGCGCTCTGTGCTTATCCGCCTTGGGCCTGGCTTTTCCAGCTCTGATTCAGATCTGCACGCACTGGTACGAGACCACTGGAATAGCCAAGGGCTGGCTGCTGTTAAGTGAGTGTTTAATCTAAAGCCTCGTTTATGCGTATGATTACATATCTTTCGTTTTTAGGCAACTTTGTGCTGATTATTGTTGGCATTCTGGGTCTAGTTATTGGCACCTATACCTCTGTCAAGGAGATTGTTCTCACATTCACCGAATAGTTGGCTACTTGCAATTACTTTAAGTCAAATAATATAATTTGTTATATTCCATTCCTTCGAATTTGTCGTACAAGCAAAGCACTACGCACTCAATATGACAAATGGGCCAATTCGAAAAGAACGAGTGCTGCACCGAGCGACTGTATGTCAACTACTGATTCGTAAAGTTAAACTTCAATACTTGTAAAAACTAAAAAAAAAAAATTATCAAATTTGTGATATTTTTAAGCATTGTGCCCAAAAATTTTTACATACACATATTGTATTTGTTCATAATTTATAACTGTATAGATGGTTAAGTTCTAAGTCGTATATTTTTAAGCATTATTTAAAATACGATAACAAAACAACAATGAATTACAATTATTTTTGCCATATTAGAAAATCAAAATAGCTCACGTGTGTTTAACACTCTTTATAAAGGCTTTTAGAGCCAGACACAGACGGCTGATCCCATCCACAAGTTTTTCTTTCTTGTGAAATGCTATGGATATGCGAAAGAATTGTTGTCCCTTTCCCTCCTCAACAGCAAATCGTGAACCAACAATGAATGTAATCTTCTCATGCTCCAAACAGTATTCCAGAAATTCGGTTGCCTTCACCTGGTCCGGCAAACGTATCCAAATAAAGTAACCTCCAGAAGGCGCTACAAATCGACAGGTGTTGGGTAGTTCAGACTTTAACACCGCGATGACAGCCAACATCCGCTCTTTGTATGCTGCATAGAGTCTTGCAATATGCGGTTGCGCCAGTTGAAGTTCAAATAGACTGCCAACAATTCCAGCTGTGTAGTTATTGAAGCAACCACCGCTGTTAATGATCCCACTGTGAAGAAGTTGCGGTTTAAGACGTGGAGGCACCTCTAGCCAGCCTAGGCGCACCCCAGGTCCAATAATCTTCGAAAAGCTGCCGTTGGAAATCACATGGCCGACGTAGTCTTCATCTGTGCGTGTGTCATAAGACATTAGACGCGAGTGCTGCGGTTTATTGTCATAATGAAGAATGTTGTAGACATCATCGCACACTACTAAGAAGTCGTATTTGCGTGAGAGCGCCACAATTCCACGACAAACAGCTGGCATAGAAGATAAAGCGATGAGTGATTAAAGCAAGCGTTTTCACAATTTTATAGTTATAGTTACTTGGTGAGAACAAAATGCCGGTAGGATTGTGATATGTGGGTATCGTATAGTAAATGGCCCAAAACTCTTTGTTCTGTGATTTAAAGCGACGTTCTTTTACTTTAACCTCCAGATCGTTAAGGTCGACGCCATCGTCATTCAGTTTAAGAGGAACAATCGTAAGACTGGTGAAGTGTTTCATGCTGTCCAAGGCAATCATATACGTGTACTCATCCACAAATAAATAGCCATTAAAGTCTATCATTGTAGAGAGCAAGAAATGCAAGCCTTGACTAGCGCCAGTTGTGACTATCAGGTCTTCGCTGAAAGTGGGAATATCAATAGCTGAGCAAATCTTAAAATTTCTCATTACATACCAGTTTACGGGACTATCATACATTCCGGTCAAGTACTTGGCGATTTCGTTGCGTATTTCATGAGTGCCGTTGGTTGGTCCATATTGAAATATCAGAGACTGGTTGACCTCTTTTTCCCTTTGCTACGGACAACCAAAGGTTATTAAGAATAATGGCGAAATCTAATAATCATAAAAATCATTTAGTACTAACCAAGCAATGTGCAGTAGCCTCTTGAAAAATATCACAACAAGGCTCTAATAGATCTGTGCCTGGAGCACCGACACCCAAATTTAATACAGTCGGCTCATATACATTCCATTCCCCGCCATCAAAAAGATGCTTAAGCTTCCGCTCCCTATTCTGATCAGACATTATTTTGCGTTATCTTGAGCGCTGGCAAAACTGAACTGATCTCATATCGATAAGGAAAATCCACAAACTTTATGAGCGCCACAATATTAACCATTCCCAAAGAGACGCGTGCATTTGCCAACACTGTCAAAAGCAGTCAGCATTCACTTATATCGGAGACACCAGCTGTTGATGCAATTGTTTTGGAAAATTCGTCAAGTAACATGGACAAGGAGCAGCCAACAACAAGCACTAACGCTGCTCAGGCAAAGGATCAGGATCATAATCCGCTACTCGACTCACCGATGCGGGGTCCCACACTGTCGACTTCAACATCCAGCTTCGAGGCCTTGGCCCACGCCCATGACCCAAATCTTACCAAACTAGCCACGAAGATGTTCCAAAAAACAGAAGAATATATAACGCACGAGCTCAATGCGCCATTAGAAGACTACAAATTGCTCGAGGAAATGAACAAGGCAACCATAGCCAAGTACAAGGACATGCGGCAAATAGCCGAGAACCTCAACGTATCCACCAACGAGCTGTGCGTCAAGTTTCAACAGCTAGCACCCCTCATGCAGCAAATTGATGAAATATCAGACACCGTGGACAAGTTGGAGGCTGCTGCTTACAAGCTGGATGCATATAGCATAGCCCTAGAAAACCGCGTTAAGTGTGTGCTGCAGCGCAAGTCGAGTCACCATGTAGGATAATAATTGCGAGTGTTTCGAAAACCATTAATAGTACATTTATTACAATAGAATTTAAGTTTTACCCAAGTAACAGTTTAAATATAATCGCTATTACGTTAAGAAATATCAGTGGAACTGTAAAATTGAAAAATGGACACGTGTTAGTTATGTTCGCTTTATTTTATGCAAATATGCAAAATTATGTACAAATACTCACTCTTGGCAACTGTGCGGATCGATCGAATAAGATTTAGGACTTGATCCTTAGCACTGGGAGCTCCGAAATCCTGTTGACCGGCTTGTCGTCCCCAGCCAACTATAAATATCATTTTTTGGTCAGAGGTACAAATATCGGCCTGCAATTACTTACACTTGGCCAAAAAACGCTCTTCGTGCAAAATGCAAACTGCATTTAGACAAAGAAGCGAGGCCTCAATCAGTGTCCACAGTGTAAACATTTTTACAACTTATCAAAAAAAATGATAAACTAAATAATTGTTGACGTCAGTTTCAAAGCGACACTTGCCAATCACTACGAGACGCGCACAAACAGCTGATTGTGTTAGTGCGACGACCAGCCTCTGTCAGTCTAAAGTTGTTTTACAGCACTGTGTTATTTATTCTTTTCAAGGGATCCGTCAAATTGTTTACTCGTTTTTGTGTGCTCATAATTTTGAATTTTTGGGAATTATTTCTGAAATAAATCAAATCACAACTATAATGGGCTCATTTGCAAAGGTTGTTTTATTGCTGGCCTCTTTAGTCACTTTCTGCTACACATTTTATGTGGTCGGAAAATTGACGCTGTTTCTCTCCAAGCCGCGATCGATTTCAAAAGCGCACATCTGGGTCTTTAATTTATTGGACAACGACTCGCGAGTGGAAACCGCATTTGGACCGCTTGTATTCGACACTATCTATTTAATCACATTCATATTCCAGCATAGCTTCTTTAAGTCAGCAATAGTGAAGAATCTGCTGCGCAAGTTGCACTTGGCTCCAGCCGAGCGAACTATTTATACTTTGACGTCATCGCTTTGTTTACATGTATGTATATATCATATACACCGAAATAGCCTTGAGTTCCTGTATACATAAACACACTCTCCCTATTCGTTTAGCACTTGGTGAAGAACTGGGTGCCTGCTCAGTCGATTGTGCTCTGGCAAATCGACGTGGAGGAGAGCATCCCGCTTTGGTGGACTTTTGTTATAACCCATGGTATATGTTGGGCTATCATTTACGGAGGCAGCTTCATTATGGACCTGGGAGAGCTGCTGGGCATCAAGCAGACCTATTATTATCTACATAACTACTCCGAGCCCATCACATTCAAGTCGCTTGAGCTGCGCAACCTGTACTCCCATGTCCGTCATCCATCCTTTGTAGGATTCACTCTCATTCTGTTTGCCACCAACGTGATGAGTATTGATCGCTTCCTGCTCGCTGTGCTGCTCACTGCGTACATGTATGTGGCCTGGTCCTCCGATCAGACCGACGTCGCCTACCAAAAAAAACAGCTTCAGCGAAAGAAACAAGAACTAAAAGCTCATTAAGGACAAGATTAACATGCGTTCTAGCGGGTCCTTTCCTGGATACCTTTTTAATTTAAGGATCATACATGTTTAAGTATCTTATCTATATATATGTGCCTAATAAACTACTAGCTCATCCGCACCACCGACGGATCAAAGGGTTGTCCTTTAAACGGGGAGCCTTCTACATCCCATGCTGTACGCAGGCGTTCTAGCGTTTTGGCCTGCTCCGGATCTGTAGTCCGCATGGTATTTTGTTGCTGATCCGCTTCCATCTGTTGCACGCGCAGCTTCTCAATGGCCGCCTGCGACTCTTGGGGCAATTCATCTATGTAGCGCTCACAGTCAAGTTTCTTTATATCGATCTCATCGTCATCCTCGAAGAGCCGCTCCCACCAACGTTCCTTCACCTTGTCTAGAACAGTAACCAATTAAGGTTTGTTTCGATATTAGCTTGAAATACATACCACAACAGATCAGCAACCGGCCATCTTCTATAGACCACATGGCTTCATTCTGTCTTATACGCTGGCTGAGCGTACCCTCGAGGATCACCTGTTCCGGTGTGCTCTTACTGCTCACCTTGATTTGCTGAGCTTTGATATCGATGGACAGTTGTTTGGCAGTTCTTAGAGTGGGTGGGAGTTGAACCTGCACTTCCAAATCTTTTAGAGTCTGAGCCCAACAATGGCGCTCAAACACGGCGCCATTCTTAAAGTCACCTGCCTCAAACGGTCGGCTTAGGTCGACCATCTTCTCGCCTGGCTGTGTCGGATGTGTTTTTGGCGGTGTTTCCTCTGTAGTCTCCACACAGATTTCTTCAACTGCGGGCGGAGCAGTCTCCCCAGAATCCCCAATATCGCTTTCAGCGCTCATAGTTTGTAGCCAGCAGTCAGGATCATAGCGCTGCATGGCGCCATAAAGGATTTGATCCCTCATTCCTTTGGGGAACCCGATTTGGTCTGATGCATCCTTCTTGGTATGATAAAAATCGGTGCTGCAAAATATTTTTATTTTTCCTTATCCTTTCTATTACTGAGGAATATTTATTACTTGCGCCTCAAGAAACCAAATATCGCGTCTAAAAAACCAGTGATTGTTTTGCGCTCCTGCAATATTTCCATAAGAATAGCATCGCTTCGCTGAAAATCCATACTTTATTGCTCTTAATACTTATTTATCAATTGTAAAAGTGTAAACAAATTTGTGGCTTAACTAGTGCAATTAGTGTTGATAAACGATGTAAATCGCTGGGGATGGCAAAAAGAAATATTAAGAAGTTTCGCGCCTAACTATTTTATTTAAATATTATTTTGAATATATTTTTAATTTTTTCAAATGCAGTTTTATTTTGTTTCTTTTTAACAAATTAATTAGCATTGGTAGGCAATACTCCAAGTGCACATTTGGACCAGGCCTTATCTGTAATAGAGTATATTAAAACAGTGTAAAACATTGCAGTAAAAACTTCTGCTTACCCTCTTCGAGCTTCCAAATGCCAAATACAGTTTGAGTTTTATTAGAATTATCTTCTGTCGCAACGACCGTAGAATGATTATCAGTGTTAAGAGGCTTCTCCTCGTCTATATCTTGCATCTTAGCATTACAAACCTTAGTAAAATCGTCAATCTGTTCGTCTGATAAAGGCGGAACCACGAGAGGCAGCAAACTGAAATATATAT